ATATATATCAATGGAGCGGCACTACGTGCTCACTGTCTCCCATACAGTTACTGTCATAGGCCTACGCTACTCTATCACACTGTTCAATGGTTTGGTCGTCGCAGAGAATAACTACTTGTCCTAGTACATATACATGCATGTCTAGCCGTCTCCAACTTTGTAGAGCCATCACAAAGATATATATGAAGAAACTATACTGCATGTGCGTTTCCGTTTCGCCAATTTGCGCATGCGTGTATATGGATGGGGAATATGTGGGCATACACATGTATCGTGTGTCTGTGGGTTGTGGTGTGTGCCTGAGTGTGCTGGGTTGTGTACACAAACGTCTGCCACAGCTCGTATCACAATACCGTATTCATACTGTTCTGGTAACCACACACCCGCATTCATTCATATATATATATGCGTACCTTCTTCGTCGATGTGGCCCCTTTTGTTCACCACAGGTGAGTTCAAGGGGTGACTCTGGAGACTCAAGCAGTTCAATTGCAGATGAGGATAGGGCCGATCCATCAATGTCTACATACGATGTCAATACACACCAGGTGGAAAAGAGCATCAGCTATGTGGGTCGTGAGGTACGGTGGACGCTATCGGGCGCATTTTAATGAAGTATCATGATGATATGTACGTACGTGGTGACGGTATATGTTGTTGAGTAAGTGTGTATGTATGTATGTATGTATGTATGTATGTATGTATGTATGTATCTAGGTAGGTAGGTAAGTATGTGTGTATGCATGTATGTTTGTATATATGTATATATATATAAATATATATATATATGTGTGTGTGTGTGTGTGTGTGTGTGTGTGTGTGTGTATAAATAAGCATATCTACCGAACGTTCTCTATGAGCCCCGCGTGACCCTTAACCAAAGTTTTGCAATACATGCCCTCAATGTACAGGCTTCTGCGACACTTATTGAGTTGGATTTGGGCCGCACTTTCCCAGCATTAGACTTCTTCCGTGTGGGAGGCCCGTTTCACGAAACTCTCCGTATAATCCTGGAGACCTATGTCTCGTATAGACCAGACATTGGATACGTATGTCTCTTTAAGTACTCATTATATATATATATATATATATATATATATCTATACTAGATATGTATCTATATGTATTTAAAACCCGCCTGTCTGATGGTGTTAAGTGTGTATGTTTCAGTTAGTTTGAACTCATGTATATCCGTACGTATAGGTGTGTATAAATACTTACATATTGATGCGTTCATTCGTTAGATTTCAGTATACTGTATTCATAAGCATGCATATATGTATGAGTATTTCTGTGCGATACATGGTGATAACTTTAGCCGTTTGAATTCTTTTGCAAAACGGGCAGTGTAGCCCAAATGAACCTCTTCGTTTCGGAGATGCCGATGCTCAGTATTAAGATCCTATTCCTAAATGTACACCATAAGAAACCGTACACATAGGTAGAGTAAATAATAGTTCATATTCTGCATTAGGGAAACAGTATAATAATAAAATACTTTGTTGTATTCGGGGTAGTGTCTTATCTCCTCATGCAATACGTTTGGTTTAGGGACTGTCTGGCGATTCCATGTGGTAATCTATCATCCACTGTCTTGCATGCCTAGGTCCAAGGAATGTCTTTCATCGCGTCTGTGCTACTGCTGTATGTCGGCGAGTTAGATGCCTTCATATGCTTTGCAAATATTCTCAACCGGCCAGTCCTGATGACCTTCTTCCGTATGGAGATGAGTGGGGTATGTACCATCTGCTAATCCAACGCGTGAAGTAAGCC